TCATTAGTCAGCCAGCCTGCCCGTCACCCCGAGCTCGAATACTATTGGGGAGTTCTACTTGGCAATCAAACAAGACCCCACCTCTAAGGCGGGCCACTGCGCCAAATTCTGTGATCCCGGTAGGTGAAATAGGCTTGTCAATCAACACACCCCACCTCCTGTCGAGTCCTTAGGTAACAATACGCCAGCACTGTGACGACTTTCCGCTCGTCCTCCGCCCAGGGGCGGGCCCACAACATGGAGGATGCTCCGCGATTGGCCCCTGACTAGCGAGTGGAAAGGACCAATCTTCCAAACGCCTGACTGAAGAGGCCTATTCTCAGATGCCGATTGGCTTGTGAGATTCGACGTGCTGACACCCGCTGTGCGACAGGTGAACCTTGATCCCAAAAGGGTTGCCAGGCTCAAAGCTAGCGAATTCCTGAGCGGGGCGTGGTGGCACACACCTCTAATCCCAGCACTCAGAAAGCAGAGGCAGGCGAATCTCAGCCTGGTTTAAATCAAATAAAAAACACCACTAAACAACAGCAACAACCAAACCCGGCTGGGGGCTACGTGACCCGCCAGGCCCTCAAGTGTGTGGGGCCGGCAGCTGTCCTGACACTACCACTGGCCGACCACCTAACAGATCATTGTTGGAAGACAGAGGACCGAAATGGGTCAGAGATTTCTGGAAACTTGTCTAACAAGAAAAGCACCGGTAGGTGGGATGTCCTCGAAAGCGGAGGTTAGGAGGGAGTGTACTTTTCCCAATTTAGTTACTGTCATCATCCAATAAATTGACACAAGTTACAAATCTCACTAATCCTCATCCAGACCTTCTAGTTTGGAGTTCGGGTTCTGCATAGATCTTTCTAGACCCTCAACCTGCTTAGTTTCATTCAGCCTGTTTGTTTTCTTACCTACACAGTTTCAGCACCCACTTTTTTCTAACTAGGTGATGAGTGCCTGCAGACAAGGGGCCAAGTGCTGTTTATATTTGTATCCATAAGTAATGATACACTTAGCAGAGTACACGTAGTATGATTATTGGCTGATTGCAACTTCGAGGTCCCACATTTCACCTGCAGTTTCCTAGCTTTCAAACCCCTTGAAGACCCCAAAGGAATTTCTCCGTGCAGGCTCTCAAGACAGTTCTGCACCTTTAGATATCCATCAGAACTAGCCCTGGACAAGGCAGGATTCCCACACTCTAGTGGAGATCCCAGACATTTAAAGTCGTAATGAACAGTAGTACTAAATCTGCAAGAAGACTTTTTGTAGGGAGACTAAACTACAAATTTGAGACACAACCAAAAAAGTTAACTCGACTGGAGGGGTAGGCTTGGGCAAAAATACCTATAAGCAAGCCAGAGTCAGAAGTACCACTCATTACACCCCACTATTGCCTCCACTTCTTGCAATTCCTTACCTCAGGAGGTTGGGAGCTGGGAGTAGAGTCAAACTTATTCATCAGAACTAAAGTTGATCGCCGAAGCCGGACACTTCAGGAGAAAGTTCTTTTATATTGATTCTAACCAATTCAAAATTTGAAGAGTTTGCTGGCACCCAATTTAATCAAAGCAACTAACAGAAATGTGATTGCCAGATATCTTTCTACTGTGGTTTTGAGACAGGGTCTCACTACCTATTCTGGCTGGTCTGAAGCACAATATATAGCCCAGGCTGGCCTTAATCTCAGAGATCACCCTGCCTTTGCCTCCCAAACACAGGAATTAAAGGTGTGTGCTACCACGCCCATCTATTAAATACTTTTGGCAAACCCAAAGCACTGTTTCTTATATCGGATCCTCACCTTTGTAGGAAAGTACTTCCAAAACCATATTCCCCTAAATCCTTTGGAGTTTGTTTTGTTTTATTTTTCAAGACAGGGTTTCTCTGTGTTACCTTGACAGTCCAGAAACTCACTCTGCAGACCAGGCTGGCCTCAAATGGAGATCCACCTGCCTCTGCGTCCCAAGCAGGTGGGATTAAAGTCGTGTGCCACCACCGCCCAGCTCTCTCTTTTTTTTTTTTTTTTTTTTTTAATGTAGCTCAGTCTGGCCTTAAACTTGAGATCCTCCTCCCTCAGCCTAAGGTTATGATTTTCTCAGCACTGTGGTACACATCTATAATCTTAGCACTTGAGTTCCAGGACTGTCTGAACTGTATAGAGTGTATCAGAGTGAGTAGCTAGAGCTACACTGTAATTACCTGACTTAAAAACAAAACAAAAAACACAAGAGTACTTGAGGACCTGAGTTCAGTTCCCAACACTCACATGGCCACAACCACCTGTAACTACAGCTCTATTGAACTCAGCATCTTCTGGCCTCCACAGGCACCAATGCACACATATTCTCTCTCTACCATACACATATACATCAAAAGTTTTTAAATCCTTTTTGTTTTTGTTTTTCGAGACAGGGTTTCTCTGTGTAGCTTTGGAGCCTGTCCTGGCACTCACTCGGTAGACCAGGCTGGCCTTAAACTCCACAGAGATCCACCTGCCTCTGCCTCCAGAGTGCTGGGATTAAAGGTGTGTGCCACCAACACCTGGCTCAGTAAGCACTCTTAATTGCTGAGCTATCTATCCAGCCCTCATCCCTATTTTACAGAGATTCTGGCATCTTCTAATGTGGTATGGCTTTACTTGTGTTAACATCTTAGATCAGACCTTACACAGAAGTGGGTGGCCGTTTGAATGAGAAAGGGCTGCTGCCAGGCTGCTTAACTTCAGCAGTTTTTGTTTGCTTGTTTGTTTTTCCAGACAGAATTTCTCTGTGAAGCCCTGGCTGTCTGACACTGGCTCTGTAGACCAGGCTGGCCTTGAACTCACTGAGATCCTAGGATTAAAGGTGTGAGCCAGCATCACCCAGCAGTTAATTTCAGTTTTGGCTGCGTAACTTTGAAAACATTTTATTTGTGTGTGTGTGTGTGTGTGTGTGTGTGTGTGTGTGTGTGTGTGTTTGTGTTCTGGTGCCCACAGAAACCTGAAAGTGGCTAATCTCCTGGAGCCGGAGTCACAAGTGGTTGTGAACTACTTGACACAGATCTTGGGATGTGATCTCTACTCCTTACAATTGAGCAGCAAGTGCTCTTACCCAGTTAGACATCTCTCTAGCTCCACTGATGGGCTAACTTTACTAATTTATTTTTTTACATTTATTTGAGGTGGGGAACACACACATCTTCATACTTGTGTGGAGGCAAGAGGACAACTTTCAAGACTCGGTACAGCTTTGCTACCATGTGAGATTGAACTCAGGTTTCCAGGCATGGTGGCAGGCATTATGATCTACTGAGTCGCCTCACCAGTCCACTGAGTAATTTTTTGATAAAGGATCTGCCTATGTAGCCCTGGCTGGCTTAGAATTCATCTGTAGACAGATTGGCCCCCAGCTTTTGGTGATCATCCCACGCCCAAAATACTGAGATTGCAAGTATATATGCCCCTCACTGGGCTTGATTAGTTAACTTTTTAAATAGGGAAATATACACCCATTCACAGTGTGATCTTTCCCACTTACAAACACTACTTTCATGAATGAGTTTTACAGAAACTTTTTTTTTTTTTTTTTGGTTTTTCGAGACAGCGTTTCCCTGTGGCTTTGGAGGCTGTCCTAGTACTAGCTCTTGTAGACCAGTCTGGTCTCGAACTCACAGAGATCCACCTGCCTCTGCCTCCCAAGTGCTGGGATTAAAGGCGTGCACCACCACCGCCCGGCCAGAAACTTTTTTTTACATGCTAATAAATGTATATTTTCAATTATACCATTCATGGTTTTACTTCTCACCTTGGACATGAGTGTTTTCTTGACCATTTGATTTAAAATTAGAATATCTGCATATTCCCAACCTGGTTTTCTTTACTTAAAATAGTATTTTTAGACAAGGTCTCACATGTAGGCCAGGCTAGCCTTGAACTTCTAGAGACCTGCTTGCCACTGCACTGCCGTCATAGTACCAAGACGCAGGTGTGGCCACCACACCACACACATCTTTCTCCATAGTTGTTACTATCTTCCAACATGTTAAGAAATGTATTTAGTGTGTGTCTGATTCCCTTACTAGTGTGTAAGCAACATGTAGGCTGAGGTATCTTCCCATTCTCTTTGCCTGCATGCCTAAAGCTATGCTAAATACATAGAAAATAGTTGAACATTTTCTCTAAGAGTAAATAATGAATGAAAACAACCATACAGTTCATTATGTTTTCTGCTCAAACTTTCTGTTGTCTCTGTGTGTGTTTAACACTGGTCCTGAACTACCAATCCTCCTGCCTCTACCTCCCAAATGCTGGGATTCGAAACTGGCTGCACCACATCTAGCTTCTGGTTGTGTTTTTATTATTTATATAGTTCCCCATAACCACATTTAAAGACTTCAGCCAGACATGGTGGTACACACCTGGAATCCAGAGACTGAGTTTGCAGCTAGCCTGGACTGCTAGCAAGATCCTATTTCAAAAAAAAAAAAAAAAAAAAAAAAAAAAAAAGCCAGGTGGCGGCGGCGAATGCCTTTGATCTCAGTGATTGGGAGGCAGAGTCAGGTGGATCTCAGTGAGTTCGAGGCCATCCTGTTCCAGGACAGCCAGGACTATTACACAGAGAAATTCTGTCTCAAGAAAGCCAAGAAAGAAGGAAGGAAGGAAGGAAGGAAGGAAGGAAGGAAGGAAGGAAGGAAGGAAGGAAGGAAAAGTCAGGCAGTGGTGACTTTAATCCTAGCACTTGAGAGGCAGAGGCAGTCTTATCTCTTTGAGTTCAAGGCCAGGCTACAGAGTGAGTTCCAAGACATCAGAGAAATCCTCTCTCAAAAAAAAATAAATAAATAAAAAGCAAAGAAAAAATTTATAAAGAACAGCTGTGATCTACCCATTTGTCAGAAGCAGTCAGTCTTGGTTTTGTTCCTTACGCTGACAATGAATCTTCTCTTGCAGCATGGGCTGGCTTGGAGCTGACTATGTAGTCCCAGGTGGACCTACACTTGAAGTGCTTGCACCTGAGGTACACCAGAATTACAGCCTGAGCCAGAACCACCTCAACCCAACCTCCCTACCCTCTCAGTGGTCAGAAGTTATAACTTTGCCCAACTTTGTTAAAAGTGCCACCTGGATGAGTGGCGTTTATAGAGAAACAGTCACCTGTCCCTTTGGGTAGTCTAAAGTTTAGCAATCAGACCATTATAAAGTAATATATTTAGATTAAATTGTAATGAGACTGATAGAGCAAACCTAAGACCTTCTGGATCCTCACTTGGTATTTTTCTTTTTAAGATTTATTTATTTAATATGCATAGTGTTCTGTCTACATGTAAGCCTTCAGGTCAGAGGAGGGCACCAGATCTCATTATAGATTATGAGGCACCATGTGGTTGCTGGGAATTGAACTCAGGCCTTCTGGAAGAGCAGCCAGTGCTCTTAATCTCTGAGCCATCTCTCCAGCCTCCCACTTGGTATTTCTAAAGGACAGGGATATAAAATATTCTATTTGCCATCAATTATGTCAATAAGTTATCTTTTAAAAACTCTACCTTCTGAGTAGCAATAAAGCTTTGACTCTCACTGTCTTCCAGATTGCTTGAAACTCACAGCTGAGTTCACAGCCTGTCTTTCCTTCCTTCCTTTTTTTTTTTTTTCCCCTCTGTGTAGCCTTGGCTGTCCTGGAACTCATTCTGTAGACCAGGCTGACCTCAGCCTAGCTTATGTATTTGAGAATATTATTTAAGAATCACCTCCATTAATTAATCACCTTCTTTTGCTTTCTGATGATTTGTTTAGAGACAAGGTCTCATGAAGCCTTGGCTGGCCTTGAACTCACTATGTACCTGGGTGGCCAACCTTCCTGTCTTCACCTCTTACCGCTGGATTGCAGTTGTTTGCCACCACACCAAGCCAGGATATTGGGGAGGGGTGGTGTGTGTATGGGGCCTCCCAATGTACCATATGCCTCTACCTTCTTGAGGCTCCAGTTGGTACAGAGTTCTTAGGCTTGGGTGTTGGCCAGGATAGGGTGTTGTGATTTTTTTTTTAAACCTCAATACTCCCCCAAATCCCTGTAACTCTAATTATTTTCCTAAGCAAGATCATAGCCATAAGAAATGACTGGTTTAAGGGATGTTTTAAACCCAGGCTGTACAATATAGAAGTCACAAAACCCTGTTCAGTACTTCTCATTAAATTTCTGGGCTTTATTTATTTATTTTTAATATGACCATTACATATTACACAAAAATAAAAGTCAAATGAACTTGGCATTTATAAATTATTAAATAAAAATACAGGAATATATATTTATATTTATAGAGCTTTTTCTCTTCTTCTAAACTAACCAAATCTGTTCTCCTGCCGTTTATGATTTAAAAAAGTAAAATAGTATATGTATGCCCTAGTATAAGTGGGGAGTGGGATTAATAAATGCAGGACTGAGTTACCCCACTTCCGCTCTTTCCTTGGCCTATAAGCAAAGTCCCTATTTGTCCCTTTGGGCTTTGGAAAGCAAGAACATCCTCTCCACCTATTTAGTTTTTGAAAAATTATATCCATTTCCCTCATTAAAAAAAATGAAATGGATTTAAAAATTGGGAGCCATACTCAGCCCTCTTGGCAAAGAGCTAATCCAAAGGAACTATATGGCTCTAAAGACAGTCCCTGGTTTTCCCTGACAGGAGACTCTCTGGGTTTCCACTGGCCCTTACACGAAGGGCAGAACAGGTCACAACCCCTCACTATGGTCCCATCTCTGCTAAGCTTCTGGGAATCCAGACCATGCCCTTTACCCTCTCATAACACAGCCTCTCCTTCCACCCTGTGTGAAGGCTGGAGGGCAGAGCGTGCTGGTAACCGACCATGGTTCCCGCTGCTCCTGTCTGCTAAAGGCTTCCAGGAATGCTAACTTGGGTAGGTGTCCCGTGGGAAGGGTAGAACAATCTTCCCTGAACAAGGAGGAGTACAGGCTCCAGCTGGAGCTGATGGTCTAGTCAGTGGTCTTTCAACTTTGCAGCAGCAGAGCCCTTACCACAAATAAAATCTTACCCTGAACCCCGATACATAAGACAGCTACAAGGGGAGCTGTTCTGTCTGAGGGCAAATCACCAAGCCTGTGTAGCCCTCCACTCCCTCATTTCCTAAAGGACTCCTGAGGCCACCCCTAGAACACTTCAGGGCTCTGCCAGGAGTTTGAAAACCACTGGCCTAGTTTGTCCTGAGCAAGTGAGAGCCTCGTACTCCAGCTGCTTGCTACAGACAGCTCTGAGTTTCTTAGATCAGCACACTGGAAACAGGCCAACGGGCACATGCCGTCTACCACATCCCCACAGACACTATCTAAAAGTGCAACCCCCTCCAAAGCAAAAGTCTGGACTAAACACCTGAGGCCAATTTGGTCCCACATTCTAGCAAGCACAATATGATGCCACATTCTAGGACCAAGTGAAAAGTAGTCGAGTCAGTTGTGGTCTAGCTAAGCTGATCAGTGCTCAGGATCACAGGTCCGGTTCTAGAGCACTGTGAAGGAAGTCAGCATTGAAGAGCAGCATCGTTAGCACCTCGGCAAGTGCAGCAGTGAGGTCTGGCTCAGGGCATGCATTTGGAGTGAATAATTTTCTCCCTCAAAAGAAGAAGCTATAGTCTGGATTTGTTCTAGAGGACCGGACTGTGAGTTCTAGTGTTAGCATCTTCAGAGACTCTGTATTGACAATAATACCCATGCAAAGAGCACGGCTTCAAAAGAAACAAAGTGTTTAGGTCATGGTAAGTGCTCTAGAACCCATATGCCTGGCCCCTGATAAAGCAGCACCAACACCCACCACACAGAATAAGCCAGTCAAGGAGCATCTGTCACTGTCACACCCAGGGGCTCAGAGCTGGAATGGTCCTCTCAAGGCATCGCAGACTCACTGAGACCGTTCAGGACCCAAACTGAATTCTAGATCAGCGTTTATGTCCACATCCTCTAAAAGAAAATTAGAGCCCCAATTTAGAGTCTCTGCTGCATAGAGAGGTCCTAGAAATAGGCAACACTTTAGGTACCATTGTGCCCCCAGTGGAGGGGAAGGTGGCAGGCAGGTCCAACTACTGAAGCCCCTACCAACCCAGGCTCCACAGCCTAACCCTCTTGTCAGCCCAGGTGCAAAGATGCACACAAAGGGGGGCGGTGAAGAACAAGGTCAGATGCAGAACTTTTGTCTCCAAAGCCCTGCCAACAACTTTCAGCTGTGCCAGAGCCCTCATCTAGATACAGTATTCCTCCCTCAGCCTGGAGGCACAAGGTCAAGGGTAGGGACAGAGGGGGGAAGGGCAGTGAACTGTCCCGAATTCTTGCCACTGCAAGAAGGAATGTTTTCTCTAAATATCCCATCACCAGATTCGACAAACAGCCCGGCATGCACATGAGCATCCGTGCAGCCCACAGCCATAGCCATTTCATCCAGTCACCTACTCGCCAAGCTTCCATTCCAAAGGGAGGTGAATTCTAGGTTCCTTACACCCCATTCATCTAACAGGGACACAATTCTTTAAATAGGTTCACCTTCCTTTGGAGCCTGTGTGCCCATGGTATGGGCATGAACCCTCCCACCTCCCCCCAAGCCCTGGGATGACTCCATCTCCTGGGCTCCTGGCCTCGAAACCTTCCTTTATGTCTCTCCTGGCCACCTGCCTGTCATGCTTGGCTCCCTCACACTCTACCTTTCCCTGCCCTTCTCTTCCATGACCAACTTCTTCCAAGGGCATTCTCTGTTCTGTCCCAGCTCTCCTGGCCCCTAGTCACACCTAGCCCCACCTGGCCCTAGTCTTTCTCACTTGCTAGCAAAAAAGGCCCCTACAGTGACCAGGGCCCCCAGTGCCACGGCCCCAGTCAGCACTGTCCTCACTGATGCCCAGTTCCCCTCCCGCAGACGCCGTGCCTCCTCCAGGGCCCCGTCCCCGTACAGAGCTGTGAACTCGGCCTGTGGGAGAGAAGGGAAGTAGAGAAAGAAGGAGAAAGGGATATCAGAAAAGGAGAGTGGAGAGAAAGAGGGAAGGAAGAGTTCCAGTTCCATCCACTGTGAGCACTGCCCACACCCAGGCCCTCTAGCCAAAGCTCTATTGCCTGTGAGCCCCTCAGAACCCCCAGCCCCCTGCCCAGGGTCCACACTATGTACTCAGGGTCACAACTTTTCTCTGAAGGCTCTCTTTGGGTACTGTTTCTAAAACTCTATAGTCCCTCTTCTGCTTGGAACCATGAAACCCACCCAGTGATTACTGCCTGGCAGCCCTGGAGTACAGTTAGCTTTCAGTCTGATTCCACTTAAACAGGGAAAGTCGGCCCCGATGGCTGCTTCCCAGCACAATCAGAGGCCCCACTTTCCCATGAAGACCAGCTTTGCAGAGGGATGCGTAGGGCAGCGATCGAGAAGCTTCTTACCCAGCCCCCACTGCTGTGGATCCAGTCAGCCAGGCGTGTCTCCAGGTAGGTCACCATCCAATCCTGCACTTGTCCCACAAGTGGCTCCATTTCTTTGTTGACACTTTCAGCACACAGGGCAGCCCCAAAGACAAAGAATGCCACAAGACGGCCCCAATTGGGGCCCCCTTGGAAAAGTTCGTCGGAAACCTGGGTGAAGCGTTGCTGGGCTGAGCCTGGGGTCACGTGTAGCTGAGCGGCCAGGTCAGAGAAGGTGCGCCGGAAGCGTGTCTCAAACTCGTCTCCAGCAGCCCGCATGGCTTGGTGCAGCGGGTCAGCTGCTGGGCCCTCCCCAGGGCCAGCTCCACAGACATAACCCTTCTGCCTCAGCTTATAGCCTACAAAGTCAGCCACTAGAGCCCGTGTGTCTGGGGCTGAGGCTGGGGTCGCCATCCGGGCGGCTAAAAGGGGCAAGGATGACAGACTGACATAAATATATAGAAAATACTGAGAGACCCCCAAAGGGACATTTCCTGTTTGGCCAAATTCCTGAAGATAGGTGAAATGCTCAGAGAGCACTAGGCAGGGACAAACGAGCAAAAGGATTTAAGTCACGGGGATAGGTTCAGGGCATGAGCAGCAGCTGGCCACGTATAACATGTCAAATTAGTGTGCAACAGGGCATTTTAATTTTAGACTACTACTTCAGATTCCTTTCATACGACACCAGCTGTATGACACCTCTGCACCCCCAACCCAATATACACCTTTTTGGCTACAGGAGGAGGCTTAGGACCTCCCTAGGGGCATGATGTGAAGGTGTTGGCAGAGGCACAAGATAGGGAGGGGGAGGGGGGCTGAAGAGCAAGATGAAGCAAGGGTGAAGCAAGGGCTGTACGGGGCAGAAAGAAGAGAACACTTACCCAGCCTGGATGGCAGCTCTTAGGACCCAGTGCTGGTGGCAGGGAGCTCCCAGCTGAGGCCTTTCATCCTCCCGGCCAGAGTGGAGCCCTGGAAAAGGGAAGGAGTGAGCAGAACTAGGTGAAAAGGGCCTGGCGCCTGGGTCTGGTCCGGAAAGGGCTGGAATTGCGGCTCCTGGGACTGGGCCACTGCCTCCAACCCCTTCCCA